TGGCTGCTGGTGCAGCTTCGGTGGCCCACGGCACCCAGTGCGGGAGAGTTGGAGGCGGCGGGGGTGCGCCCACCGCGCCCCACGTGGTGTTGCTGCAGGAACACCGCCTCAAGGAGCCGCGCCTGGTGGACTCGGCCAGGAAGTGGGCCTCGCAGGGGGGCCTGAATTCGGTCTTCGGCCACGCGGAGTCTACTGGCGGCAAGGCGAACCAGTCGTCCAGCGGGGTTGCCGTTCTCAGCTCCTTGCCGCTGCTGGATGGCTTTGGTGTGCTGCAGGAGGCCCTGCCGCGCAGCCGCTTCCAGGTCGGGGTGGTGAACGCTGGCCTGGGGGTGCCGATTTACTTCATCAGCCTGTACCTCACGACGAAGGTCGGGCTGACGGAGCCGAACCTCACACACCTCGAGAGGCTCCTGGGGGGGATCGCAGGTCTCCAAGGGCCTTGGGTGGTGGGAGGCGACTGGAACCTGGAGCCCGCGGAGGTCCAGGAGTGGGCTCGTCTAGCCCAGGGCGTCGTGGTGGCACCCGATATCCCTACCTGCGAGGGGCGAGTCTTAGACTTCTTCGTGGTGTCCCGTGTGCTGGGGAACTTCGTTCGCAGCGTGGATGTGGTCGACGGGACGGCCATCCGCACGCATGTGCCAGTCATGTTGCGGCTTCATGGGCCCCGCGCTGAAGCCAAGGTGATGAGGGCTGTACTCCCCGCGGCCTACCCCATCGTGCTTCCGCCGCCCACGCGCCCTGCCCCGCCGGAAGTCGGCGACAGCGCGTGGCCCTGGGAGGCAGGAGGCCTCCCTTCCGACCTTCATGCCGCGACGCTGGCCTGGTTTCAGAGGGCAGAGGCTTACCTCTCCTGCCTGCGCGGCTCTGGCAGCCGTAAGGAGGGCCGCTGCCGTGGCCTCCGGGAGCAGCGGGCCCCCTTCGTCACGGAGTGGCAGAGCCACTTCAAGGCGCGCACTTCGGCCGAGTACCGCTGCTGGGCTGGACTCTTGGCGGCCTGCCAGCGCGCGTGCTCCTTGCAGGCCATAATGCGCAGCAGGAGGTGGTCGAGGTATTCGGCACTCAACCGGCAGCTGAAGGTCATCAACTCGTTCGTCATCGAAGATGGTTGGTGGCCGCAGTCAGGGGCTCTGGCCAACATGTCCGTGGAGAAGATGCTGAAGGTGTTCGGCAGCGACTCGGCCTCCGCCTCGTCGTACCTCCTGCGGGTCATGGATGACCACGTGCTGAGCCTGAGGAGGCGGGACCAGCACCAGCAGCGGGCCCTATGGCAAGCCTGGGCCAAGGAGGCGGCGTCCGCCAAGGGGGGGGAGCAGGCCTATGCCTATGTGCGGGCGGCCCAGGTGCGGCCCACCGTCATCGAGGCCCACGACGACGAATCGGGCCTTGTCCTCCCACTCGGGGGAGATGAGGCCATGGATTGCCTCATGAGGCAGTGGGAGCCGCTGTGGGTCAACCCCGACCGATCAGATGAGGGACATCCTCGGGACTGGGCGGGCTAGGAGTTCGACGCCTCCATCCTTCCGCGTCTGCAGGTGGCCGACCTGGACGCAGCCGTAGACAAGTGCGGCGAGAGGGCTGGTCTGGGCTGGGATCAGCTCCACCCCCGGCAGCTGCGCTGGCTGCCGAAGAGCTACAAGGAGCGTTTCCTGGACGTGCTGAGGTGCTGGGAGCTTTCGCCCGGCGAGAGCTCCCTTTGGCTCATGTTCATCGCTTTCTTTCCCAAGGCGGGGCCAGCAGGCGGATTGAGGCCCATCATCCTCAACTGCATCTGGCTGCGGCTGTGGTCGAGGATGCGCCGGCCGCTGGTCGCGGAGTGGGGGCGCAGGCTGGAGGGCAGCTTCTACTGGGGCGGCGCTGACAGGACGTGTGATCGCGCTGGTCACGTCCACAACTTGCTGGCCGCCTTCTGCGCCCAGCAGGGCGGCATGGCGGCGGGCACCGCGGCCCTCGACCTCAGCAAGTACTACGAGTACGTCTCCCACAACATCTTGCTGAGGGAAGCGCGGGCCACGCGCTTCCCGCTGCCGCTGCTGAAGGCTCTGTGCTGCGCCTACCGCCTGCCGAGGCGCGCGAGGTTCGCGGGCGCCCTCGGCATCACCATCCGCGCCAATGGCACGATTGCCGCAGGATGCTCCTGCGCGCTCGGGCTCGCGAAGCTGATGGTCCACACCCTCTTGGTGGAGCAAGCGCGGCGCTTCCCCTTGGTGCGGTCGCAGTCGCTGGTGGACGACCAGCTGCTGCAGGCGCTCGGCACCGTGGATCTTGTTGCCGCTCAGCTGCCCGCCGCCCTGGCCTTTGTGGTAGAAGGCTTGCAGGCCCGGAAATTGAAGGTCAACTGGGGCAAGACGGGTTGGCTCACGGCCGACAGTGCGCTCGCGGCCCGACTCGAGGCCGCTTGGGCTGGCGAGATCGAGCAGAGCCGAGGGTTGCGATGCCTCGGCGGTGACGGCTCTGACGGCGTCAGGAGGTCCGTCGTCGAGCAGGACAAACGCTTGGCTAAGGCGCGGGTTGCTGCCCAGCGTGTCCATGTTCTTCGGGAAGCCGGCGCAGCCGTGGAGCGCATCCACCGCGGATCCCCCACCGCCACTGCGATTTGGGGCTCGGCCGTCACGGGGCTGGCCGACAACAAGCTCCATGGGCTACGGGTCGGCGCCCTTCGTTCGGAAGGTCGACTTCCCGCAGGTGCCAACGTAGGACTGAGGCTCCGATCGATGTGCAAAGCCTTCTGGAGGGACCCCGCGGTCGTCCACGTTGGGGAGGTCATGCATGCTTGGGCCATGTGTGTCGAGACCTCCCTTCCAGCCCTCTCGGTCTTGGAAGCGGTGCTTGAGCAGTCTCGCGGCATTCTGAAGTCCAGGGCCCCCTGGAGTCAGTGCAGCAACCCTGCCCAGGCCCTCCACCTCGTGCTTGCCAGAATAGGGGCCAGCATGAGGTCAGCCACGGAACTTGTCGGGCCAGGCGGAGAGGTGGTCGACCTCAGGTTTTTCTCCCCCGGTAGGGCGGTGGCGGCGGTGAAATACATGGCTGTCGCTGCCGACGAGATTGTATCCATCAGTAAATATAAGTGCTGGCGCTCTGTTCTGAATTGGAGACCTCTTGATAAAATCTTGTTCGGGAAGCCGGGGCTGGGACTCAGTCGGCACGGCAGGAACCTTGTTCGCAGCCTGGTCTCGGGGACCCACTGGCCGCAAGCGCGTTTGCACCGCCGCGGGCGGTCTATCTCGGACCAGTGCAAACTGTGTGGCTGTGTAGGCACTCTCTTCCATAGGGGGTTCGACTGCCCGTGCTCTGCTGGCCTCAGGCGCACGGACATGCCTAATTCGCTTGGTGTCGCAGCCAGCAGAGTGAGCAAGCTGGGTGCTGACGAGGCCGAGCTTTTCTCGCGTTGCCTCTTCCCCTCCCCCGAGAATTGTTTTGGCCGACCTGAGGCTCCTGAGGAGCACTGGGTCAGGTTTGTGGGCGCCCATCCTGGGTGGCTCTGGGGGGGGCCCATCTTCGTGGACGGATCGGCCTTGAGCACTAAGCGCGGTTCTTGTAGACGCGCGGGCTGGGCGGCCGTGCAGGCGGACCAAGCCGGCAATTTTGTTGCTTGCATGTATGGGGTGGTTCCGAGGGCTTGGGGGCCCGAGCAGTGGGCGCGGGGCGGGGAGGATTACGCGTTTCACATGTTGGCTCGGTTTTCGGAGCCTCCGTCCGAAGGTAATTCAGGCGTGCCGCTTGAAGTGTTCAGTGATTGTGCTGGCTCTGTGGGTTGCGCCATTAATTCGTCCAAAGCTTTGGGCCCCAGGAATGAGCGGCGCCACCTTTGGAAGCTCTGGTGGGGCAAGGTTGGTTCTTCTGCCACGGTCGCGAAGGTCAAAGCCCATCGGAGCGCCCAGGATGCCGCGTCTTTCGAAGACTTGTGGAAGCTGCGGGGCAATCGCCTCGCGGATGAGTGGGCCAAGAAAGGGGCTCAGCTTTGGGATGTGGCCCCGGAGCAAGAACTTTTTGTAGAGGCCTGCGAGCGCAGGGCCGAGGACGCGGCCGTGTGGATGGGGAGGGTCCATGAGTGGCTCCACCAGTCTGGCCACGAGGACTCCGACGGCGTCGGCGGCACGGCCGATGTCGTCCTGGATCTAGAACTGGAAGTTTCGAGCCTCAGCCCTGACGAGGCCAGCGAGCGGGAAAGGCATTGCGAGCAGCGGTCGCAGCTCCAGTCTCGCATAGCCCTCCCGCCCGAGCTTTTTCCCGGCTCGGCCACCAGCGCGGCACCCGCGGCGGCGACCAGGGCTGCCGCCGGGAGTGGCTGCAGCGTGCTGCGCCCGTGGCTTTTTCAAGGTCATGAGATCGTTCAGGCTGCGGTGCACGGCTCCGTCGGTGAGCCTCCTGTTCTGTTTTGCACGGGTTGTGGCGGCAGCGTGCAGAAAAATTTCAGGCCTGATTCTGGGCTGGCCACCATATGCAAGGGTAATCGGCATCCAGGGCTGGCCACGCAGAGGAGCAGGCTCCGGCGAGGCCTGCATCCTAATTCAATTCGGTCGTCACCCCGTCGTTGGAAGTCCGAGCGCAGTGGGCGGCGAAGCTGAGAGTTTCTTCTGGTTCGGGGCCAGAGCCTGTTGGGACCACCTATGGGCTGGTACCCCCAGAGCCTCTCGATATGTATCGGGTCGCTGCCTTGCACGGCTTCTCTGATCCGCGGGAAGCGGTAGATTGGTGTCTCTCGGAGCGCGCGAGGGAGGCTCGGGAGCTGCAGGCCCGGGGGGACTCGGGCTCCCCGTAACTTTTTAGGACTCGCCGTGCGGTAACAGGCAGTACCGAACTCAATAATATGTTTATTGAGTTTCGCTGGATGCGATGGAGCTCGCTCCATGCTTTGAATCAGCTTGAATCAGCCTCCTCCTGATCCTCCTCCTCGTCCTCCTCCTGCTCCTCCTTCTCCTCCTCCTGATTCTCCTCCTCCTCCTCCTCTTCCTCCTCCTCCTCGAGCCTCTGCCTCTTCCTCCTGGACGAAGCGTCCCGAGGGAGCTGCAACACCGACGAGGGCTGCCGCGCCGTGTCCCGCGTGCGGGTGCACCCCGGCGTGTCGTACAGGCGCCGGCCCGCGCGCCCCCACGCACGGGGCGGCAGGGCGTCCAGGAGAGGTGGGGCGGGGAGGGAAGAGGGAGGAAGGCGGAGGGAGGAGGCGAGGGAGTCAAAGAACAGCAGGAGGAGGAGGAGGAGGAGGAGGGGGAGGAGGACGAGGGAGGAGGAGGAGGAGGACGAGGAGGAGGGAGGAGGAAAAGGGGCGATAGATGTCATCGGCTTTTTGGGTGCCCAGGGACCGAACTGTACAGGCGGGACTTAGGTTTTTGGAGGGACCTTCCAGATTTGGAACAAGGGGAGCCAGGTGACCCCTTTCTCTCTCGGTGCCTCCTTCCCTCCCCTGTCAGGCTTCCCCCTGTGCCCAAGACCCTTGCCCGTTGCCCCATCCCCTTCAGGATATGTATATATATATATATATATATATATTATATATATATATGTATATGTATATATGTATATGTATATATGTATATATATATATATATATATATATATATATATGGTGCTGCATTGTATGCTGTTCTCATGATCTTGAGGAACTCGGGCCCAGGCGAAATCATCCTCGGGTGGACTGCCAGTCGTTGATCGATGTCTGGGCCCGAGGTCTTCACCAGAATGTTACCGACATCCCTTTCGGAGAGCTCTGGGAGGAGGTTTTAGCCAGGGCGCGGGATCGGGGGAAAGGCCAACCGGTCTTCTTCAAGGTTCCCGCGCATAAGTCTCGTTGGAGGGCGGTTTCGTTAGGCTGCCCTGCGTGGGCCTGGCACGGCAACCAGGCCTGCGACTTCCTCGCCCGCAAGGCTGCCGCTAATGTCCCGCACAGTTCCTTCCTTCAGCAGCTGGAGGAGAAGCGGTCCGAACGTCTCGCCTCTCTTGCCCTGTACACAGGCCATGTAATCGGCCACCTTTCTCGCACTCGAATGCAGGATGTTGAGCCCAGTGGAGCGAAGGGCCGCAGTAAACCCTCGGACGTTCTCATAGTGCCTGGCCCCAGTGGTCATGCGATCAGGCACTGTTGGAAAGGTTTTTCCTGTCGCGTTTGTTTTCTCGGGGGCGCACGCACGCTGCCCTGGCTTTGACTCCGTGCGCAGGCTTGCCTCGCATTGTTCGTCAAACCCATGCCAGCCACATGTTTTGGGGAGGGATTGAAGAGACTGCTGCTAGCTCTAGAATGTTCTGGTGTGCTTGGTGCGGGCGTTTTGGGAAAGCGAAGGTCCTGGGCTTCGGGGAAATTTGTAACAGGCACCCTGAGAACAAGGATGCCGCCGTCTCCTTGGGCCTCCTGAAGAGAGGCATCGGTCCCAGCACCAAGCGTTTCGTCGGTCGCAGCATCCCCATAAAGAGGTGAGGTGGGTGTTTCGACCCTGGCCCCCCCACCCGTCTTCCTCAGCTGCTGTTCTCACGCCGTGGGATCTTTTGGCGTAGAGGCTGAAAGGCTGAAAGGAGGAGGAGGAGGAAGGAAGGGGGGAGGGAAGTGTGGTGTGATAGTGATGTTGGTGCCGATGATGATGATGACGATGATGATGCCGATGATGATGATGATGCTGATGCGGACGATGAATATGCTGATGATGATGCACGTGCTTTTGATGAAAATGATGATGACGATGGCGATGGTGATGACCATGACGGCGACGATGCCGATGATGCTGCTGCGGATGATGGTGATTGTGTTGTTTGTACTGATGATGATGATGCGGCTTGTTGCAGTGAGGCAGATTTTCGCCGATAGGTTCAGCTTCAGGAGTTTCTGTCCGTGACCAATGTGGCTCAAGGGTAAAACACCTAGTCTGTCTCCGTCTGCCACAGTTGGTAGCGGAGCGTGGCCCGGGGCGAGGTGCCATGGGCGGAGGCGACCCTGCCACGAGGTAGGCGGCCTCCCGCTCGCGCGCCCTCGCCCGCGGCTGCGCTCGCACCGACGAGGTAGCGTGGGATCCACGGCCAGGTGATCATGCCCGCCGACGGCGAGGCCGGGACGGAGGCAACGGACTTTCACGTGGGCACTGGCAGCCAAGACGCCCCAGGTAGCAGTTCAGGCAGCCAGAACGCCACGGTGACCATCCGACGCGAGGAGCTCAGGGATTTGATCAAGAGTGTAGTGTCAGAGACAATGAGATCAGGAGCTCCAGACTCAGGAGGTCATCGAGGTGTCGTCCGCGAAGAACAGTCTCACGACGAGTGGCACGACACCGGCAAGGACCCCTGGCGAGAAGGCCGCGATCGAGGAGCTCCCAGTGGTGGGCGCGAAGCTGGAGGCGATGGCATCCAGCGAGATCGTCGAGACGGAGACAAGGACGCCAGAGGAGCAGGCCGGTGGCGCGACCAAGGCAGTGGCTGGGACAGCCGCGACGGTGGCCAGGGCAAGTCCGGGCCCGCGGAGGCCTGGGGCTCAGGCGACTGGGACGGCGGCTGGGCGGACCGCCGGAGATCGGCGTGGGACGGCGGAGACGGCGGAAGCTGGGGGGGTCGAGGTGACTTCAGCGACCCTCCCAACTGGCCCGGATGGGCCCACTACCGACAATGGAAGCGAACGCTCAGGCGTTGGAACACGAACACAGATGTGAAGCTGTGGAGGCGTGCTGAGAAGTTTCTCAAGCTCTTCGAGTACAGCTTCCAGGCCAAGTTTGAGGACATCAGCGAGGATAAGCTGTGCTCGACGGAGTGGATCGACGTCATCCTGCAGCGCATGGACCTCATGGCGGGCGAGCGGGAGGGCGACGACCTCCGGCGCGCCGGCAGGAAGGCCTTCTTCGAGGCTTCCAGAGAGGCGAAGGAGGGACTGACGCAGTTCGTCCACCGACGAGAGGCGCAGCTTCAGGAGGCCGAAGGCATGGACCTCTGGATGAGCTCCAAGCTGAAGGGGCTGCTGTTGGAAGAAGGGGCCGGTCTATCAGCGCAGGGAGTACAGAACCTGCGCACCTTGACCCAGGGCAGGACCGACTTCGAGCACGTGGCCTGGGCGCTGAAGCAGATGGGCGCTGGAGGAGCCGAGCGGCTCCTCCCCGGCCGCAGTGGCGCGGCGCTGATGGCAGAGAGTGAGGGCCTCGGCCCAGGCGCCAGTGAAGCCGCGAGCGGTGCTTTTCAGGCCTCTCTCCCCCCTCCCTCCGGTCGGTCAGAGGTAGGTGTCGACGGTGAGGAGGGCGACGCCAACTACTACGACTACGACGAGGAGGTCGAGGGTGACTCAGGAGACGAGTCAGCTTGGGATGCCGAGGCGCTGCTCGCGGAGCTGGAGGACCCGAACCTGTGCGAGGACCAGCTGGAGGAGTTCTGGGTTATGATGGAGGGCAGGCGCCCGGCAGGCAGGACGTGGAAGCAGAACAAGGAGCTGAAGAGAGCGGCCCGGAAGGACCGCGAGTACTTTGGCGTGAAGCCGAAGGCAGGTGATCGGCGCCCGCCCTCCGCCTCCTCCGGCAGGAGCACCCCGAGCTGGAGGCTCCAGCGGCCGACGTGATCGAGGGGCACCCGGCAGAGGCCGGGAAGGTCGAGGCGTCCGCGGCAGGCTGACGATCGAGCAGCAGATGAAGGCGACGCGATGCAAGCGGTGCCAGCAGAAAGGACGTTGGGGACGAGAATGCCCGAAGTTCGGGGACCGCGTCGGAGGCGGTCAGGCCGGCGGGGACCAGCGAGCCCGCGCCGGAGGAGAGCGACAGAAGATGTCGGCCTACATGTTCGAGGGCTTCTCCGGCGAGAGCTTTCCCATGTGGAGGGGTGAGGCCGACCAGATCTCCTCCGGGGCGGTCTACATCGTGGCAGAGGCGGACCAGGCGCTGGTCGATCCCGGGGCCGGGAGTGACTTAGTAGGGGTGCAAGCGCTCAACCCGGAGGCCCAGGCGCTGGCTACTCGCGGGCTGACGTACGTCGAGATCCCCAGGTCCCATCGTCCTCTCAAGGCGGCTCACGGGATCGGCGGCATGGGCAGAGTCATCAGCGTGGTGCTGTTCCCGCTGTGTCTGGGAGGCGTGTTCGGGATCATCGAGACCACCGTGTTGGCGGATAACGTACCACACGTTCTTTCGGTGAATCTGCTCGATTTCCTCAAGTGCCTGATCGATCTGCCAGGCAACGAGATGACCTCCCAGACTCTGGACAAAGTGATTCCTTTGACTCGCCTCCCTTCTGGTCATCGCCTGGCGCAGATAGTTTGCAAGCTAGCCACGCCCGCCTGCGTTCCCGACTCGGCGCTCAGGCGCTATCCGTTTTTGAAGCAGGACTCTTTTGAGATCGGGGGCAGAGCGCCCCCCGTGATGTCTGACGACGGGGTTGTGTCGCAGTGCCTGCTCTCCCTCTCTCTCCTTGTTGTCGTCCTCAGCCTTGGTGCGTTAGGGTGGGGGACTTACGTGGGGAAGCTCGGGGACCTTCGGGAGAGCTCAGATAAGTTCCAGGGGAAGGTCTTGGGCGGCCTCGGGTGGCCACGAGCTCAGCTAGCGTCAGATCACAAGGCCGGGGCCTCGGGATCAAGTCAAGCTAAGGTGAAGGGCCGACGGCCTCGAGCACGAGCAGGACCCAGGAGGGCGAGTTGGGTTCTCGTTGCGTTGCTGGTGCTGCTGACTTCCTCCGTAGCCAGTTTGGGCTCAGGCGCAGAAGCTTTCAGCTATACACGTTCCTCAGATCAGAGCGAGCAGTCAGGAGGGTCAAGCGATGCCGCCGGCACTCTGGCTGTCGTGGATGCTCTTCCAGCAGGTCATGGGAAGCAAGACCGAGCCGAGAGCGAAGAAGGCGACGGAGGAGTTTCTAGCTCGCCGTCGGAACGAGTCGGAGTCAGAGGTCTCTCTCGAGTCCTCGGCCGATACGGAGATGCCAGGCACCTTTGTCAACCCGATGGCCGAGATCATGGTGCAGCAGCCGGGGCCGGGGCCATCCAGTGGGCCCGGCAACGGTTCGGCGGCCTCGGCGGGGGCAGCCGAGGCTCAGGCACAGCTGGGCCCAGCAACCGGAGCGCCGCCCTCGATCGACCAGCCGCTGTGGACGGTAGAGGCGGCCCATCCACCCGCGACGCAGCCAGCAGC